GCATAACTCAGGGAACCAATGTTTTCCAAATGACTAATGCGTGACAGGACATAATCACACATGGGTTAAAAGATCCTTTCAAAGTGCAAGACAGACCAATGGATTTTAATGTAACAGACAAGAAGTTTGCTAATATGTTTCAGATTCCAGATCGACATTGTCGAATTTTGATGTAATATAAAAACTATATATCTACAATTACCTGAACTTAAACTTTTAAAGGGACCGCTAACCTAGGGTGCTTCAAGAAGTGAAGGAGGGGAAGGGTGAAAGAGAAAAAAGAAGTTAATGGGGAAGAGGGGTGTTGAGGAGAGAGGATTGTTTGATTGATCATCAAGTGTATGCCCAATATTCTACATGGGTGTGGATATATCATCCACACAAAAATTCCTACAATGGTAGTAATCAGGAAACAGACTCAGGAGTTGATCAGCTAGCCACTGTTGCACAGGAGCTAGGATTCGAAACCAGATTTTTCTGTACCTGTAGCTGATTATCTTCCTAGCAGTGTATGACACAAGAGGCAGCTAAAACATATTCTGCTACTCCTACCTAGATCTGTTTCATTTAGGGATTGCATTTCATGGCTTCCTTATAAGATATGGCCACTCAGGTGCCAGGAAGTATGTGCTTAAGAAAGGGTGTAATTTGCCTGAACATTTTACATGCTTCTCAATGTGTATGATTAATTTTTATAATCTATCCATGACTGTCCATCAGTGATCCTCCTTCCATCGGTTGCTTTTCTTGCAAAAGAGTTAAATAGGAAAACCCAGTTTTGTACATGTTTTTTCTTCTCATAACCTTAGTAGGGTCAGGAATAACACTGGTGTCCATTCTGAATGGGAAACTGCCTTTAAGTGTTCACCTGAAATAAAGCATTTTGCTCACATGATTCTTCACTTAGAAGAAAGGACCCTGGGCGTAGTCAGTTTCTAACAGAATCTCAACATCTCCAGAACGTTCGGCATCACTGTAAACACAATTGGATATTCTAGCTTTTCATATAGAGTGAAATATGAACTCATATCTTGAGGTGCTTTTTATCTCTTGCTGCCATGTATCATTTTAAAAATGGCGATTCCATATGGTTTTCCTTTGAGTTCTAACCATTTTGTTGTATCCTAGCCCTTTTAGCAGTATCGCAGGGTCACATTTGCAATTGAATACCATTGCAAAGTCATCCATTTTCCCAATGGTGTTCTTTATAGGCCATCATGGTCCTCATATTTGTGTGACAAAAACTGATTTTTCTCCACTGATGTCTGTGGTATACTTGGCAGTTTTCCACAGTCAGTTCTTATCTGATGTTGCCCAGAATGACCGCCTAAAGGGATGCCAAGAGCCTGACTTAAGTTCCAGATTTTTAGCTGCAGTTCTACCGTGTTTCCCTGAAAATAAGACCTAACGCATGGAAACATAAGACATCCTCTGAAAATAAGACCTAGCGCAACTTTGGGAGAAAAAATTAATATAAGACACTGTCTTATTTTCAGGGAAACAGGGTACTAATCCATTTTTCTTTTAGTTTTAACTTTTCCTTGTGTCATCTGTAGCTCACAGTGCAGTGGCCTGAGCACTGGCAGGTGCTCTAATGTATAAGTGACAATTTGGGAATGCTGTGCTAGGTTTTAGACTTAAAATTACTTTCCACTTAGATAAACCTATATAATTAAGAGGTAATATGCAAATTGACCATCACACCCTCACACAAGACGGCCACCTCATGATGGCTGGCAGGGGAAGGGCAGTTGGGGGCAATTGGGCTAGCAGCGGAGCAGTTAGATATCAATCAGGCTGGCAGGCAGAAGCAGTTAGGGGCAATCAGTCAGGTGAGCAGTTGGGAGCCAATAGTCCCAGATAGTGAGTGAGAGGGACATCCCAGGTTGGACAGGATGCAGGCTGGGCTGATGGACCCTCTGCCCCTCTCCGCCAGTGCCTAAATTTCATGCACCAGGCCTCTAGTACTTATATCTTTGCTGAAGATAAAAGAATGAACATTTATCGAGTGCTAGCTAGATGTTGGAACTATGTGCTTGACATTCTACATATTCTGTTTTCCTAAAACACACACACACACACAGTCCTTTCCAGTTTACACATGAGGAAACTGAGGCTCAACCTTTTTAAGTGGGAGAGCTGGAATTGAGACATGGCAGTGTAATCCCAGAAGGCTCCCTCATCAACCTCCTGATTTGACATGACCTCATCAAAGGCTATGCCATTTTTTTCTCCAGGTTGTTGAGAGGAAAGGTGAGATTCTATTCAGAAAGTGTTTTAAAACTATAAAGTACTACAAATACTTTAAAATTTTTAAATAAAAAAATTAAATACATATATGTAATTATTACATATCAGAATTAACATTTCAAATATTTAAATATCACACTTATTTTCTACAAACTAAATACACAAACAACTGGCTGGTCCCTAAAAATAGATGTCAGATGACAGAGACTAGCTGGGCAGGAAGAGGGGCATCTTCAGAGCAGAAGCCAAGGACATTTTTGCTTCCCTGACACACTGCTCCATTCACTCACTCTCAAGCCTTCCAACTTCTCTGGGAAACTCGGCTCAGAGCAGCTTCTCTACATTAGTCACCAGTTTCTATTAACCAAGGGTGGCTCCTGCCAGACCTACAGCTGAGTCCTTTTAGGTTATTTTCTTTCATTGTAGGCTTTCAATATTCCCTCAGTCCATTCCCAGCGCTAGCAGAGAATCAATGCCTTGTGATAGGAAAGCATCCAAAAATTATTCACAGTAGTCAGAGAACATGTGAAACACTGGGGCGTATTCCCAAAATTGGGGTGATGGGAATGCTGTCTTGTTGACCAAGCCTCTTAAACAAGGGTTAGCAAGGTGCAATGAGCTTCGTGTGAGGATAGATTTTCAGGGGAGGTTTAGAGGCCCAGTGACATAAGATGATGTTTATAAAACAATTGTCATTTTATAATTATCTTTTAATTTTTATTCCTAAAACAGAACAAAGGTGTTATTTCATAAATATAATTTCTAACTTTGTTGATAAGCAAAACAATTTAGTTTGCTCTGAGTTTGAGCATATTTGTAATTGAGATTTAATATACTGAGTCCTCAATGTCATCCATAATTTCTGTGGCATTAAGCAAAATAATGTAACAAAACAATATTGAATGGAACAATATTGTTTGAGGACATACTGTACTATTATTGGCTATAGTTATAAAAGATGGCAATAGGACAGCTAACAGGATAAGCAAATTAAAATTTTAGAAAGGAGTAATGGTATACTAATGAATTTCCTTATATAGTTGATAAATAATCTGCTTTAATATCTATTGTTCCAAAATCAACAGATTGCTGCCATTCACAGTTTTGAAAAACATAACTAGAAAAGCAATGGGAAGTTTCCAAAAACTCTTTTTAGAGACTTTTTAGTTACAGAAAGTTGCATGCTTAGAAACTCTTTTGAGTTATACCATGCAATATAATACAATAACTTTGGTTCTAAAGTTAGCATATATGATGAAAATTACTTAGGAAGATGAAACATTAGAAAGCATTGTGTGATCTATTATGAAGTATTTCATAGTTAATTTTTTCTTCACTTTAAAAGGATTGCTGGAGGAGGGGGAGTCCCTCAGCCCAGCCTGCCCCCTCTCACAGTCTGGTAGCCCTCAGGGGTGGGAGGCAACCCGGCGATCAGGGGAAGGTGATGTCCCCATCACACCTCTGCTGCTGCCACTGCAGGCAGCACAAGCCTCGGCTGGTCCTGGTTACCTGAGCCTCAGGCGGCCCTGGGTAGCTGGGCAATCGCCATCCAAGGCTTGCCTGCACCTCAGGCCAGTCTTGGGTGGATGGGAAGCTGCCATCCGAGGCTTGCCTGTGCCTCAGGCTGGCCCTGGGTTGCTGGGGGTTGAGGAAACTGGGGACTCCGGAAGCAGGCGACCGGCCTTATTGCATGTCTGCCACCCGGCGGGGTTGAGGGGACTGGGAGTCACCATCTTTTGAGGGCATGGCAGTCAATTAGTATATTCCCTCCTTATCGGCTGTGGGTGCTACCACCTTTGTGATGGTTTGAGGGCCAATTAGCATATTCCCTCTTATTAGATAGAATGTGGCAGAGTGTTAAGAATGGTGAGTACAGGTGAAAAGTATATATCCATTGTACAATTCTTTAATAGGAAAATAATGTTTACCTTTAAAAACTAAACCTGTGCCCACTGTGATGAAAAATCTGCAAAATGAAAATTGAGGCCCAGTACAAAAAACAGATTCCCATTTTCCACCTTCTTCTCCAGGGCATCTCTTCATTGAGGGGCGAGGGCAGAATGGTCCTTAGTGTGAAAGCCTAGTGCTTTTTCCAGTCGTTCACTGCAATCCAGACAAGAAAGTTACAGAAAGGAATGTTTCTGAATCAATCTCTTCTAAGTCCTAAGAAACTGTAAGAAGTTTTATAAAAAAAATTTTGACTCAAGTGGAGGCTGAGAATTATGTGACATGGTTGAATGAACAGAGATGCCTGTCCAAGATAATAAACTTGGGGGGGGGGGGGGATATGTCCTAGCAATTAAAGAGGTAAGAGGAATCTTTGGGGAAGTGATAGACATACACTCTCGATCACAGTGTTAGCTTTACAATTGTCTATTTAACAAAACTCATCAACTATATACTTATAAACAGTGAGAATTATTGCACGTAAATGAGAACTTAAAAAAGACGATTATAAATATGAACAAATCCTAAGCAACTAAACATTATAATTTCTAAGTGAAACACAACTACTTAAGGAATACTTTTAAATAATGACCTCATTCTTAATTTTGTATTAAAGAACAAAATAATTATTTGAATATGTTTCAGTTGGTAAGATATTGTGATGTTTGCTAGTATGTAAAGCCACAGTTCAGTATGAACATGCTTGCTGGGGAGGGAGAAGCTGAGAGAACTGTGTTTTGATGTGTGGATCTTTTTTACAGTCATGACAACTAAATCCTAATGCTGCTTTCTTCTTTCTTTAGCCCGGGCATGAGACCAGATGTCAGCTCTCCTCCTGCATCCAGCTCAGCAGCATCAGGGCCACCTCCCAAACTCTGCCTTGTGTGCTCTGACGAAGCTTCAGGATGTCACTATGGGGTCTTGACCTGTGGGAGCTGCAAAGTCTTCTTCAAAAGAGCAGTGGAAGGTAGTGTGTGTTTTGAAGAGTTTTTATTTTTTCCTCTACTTGGTTCTTATTTCTCAGAGTGGATTTTGAAATTTCTGTAATAGGCAAAGCTCTTTAAGGCTTTGTAAAGAGGGGAGAGGTAATGGCTGCTAGGTTTCTAGGGGGAAAGAGACGTTTTAAAAAGCAACATAAAACAGAATTGGAATAGAAAAGTATAAACTGAAGGGAGGATGCTTGGCCAGAGAGCAGAAAGTAACTTTAAGAAAGTGGTATCAGCCCTAGGTAATTTGGCTTAGTGGATAGAGCATCAAGACTGCAGACTGTAGGGTCCCAGGTTCAATTCCGATCAAGAGCACATGTCCAGGTTGTGGGTTAGATCCCCAGTTGGGGGCATGCAGGAGGCAGCCAATCAGTGATTCTCTCTCATCATTGATGTTTCTCTCTCCCCCTCTTCTCTCTAAAAGCAGTAAAATATATTTTTTAAAAAGTGTTATATGAAACGATGGGGTTGGATTTGGGCAGCAACAATACTCACTATTAGATCATGGGCTTTAATTTTGATCAATTAACTGTTTTTAAAGTCACCAACTATTTCAGTCTGGCAAAAATAAGTGATAGTGAGAAATGGGGGAGGGGGAGGTTGGAGGGAAAGGTATTTTGCTTTTGGGCCTGGGCACTGTGCTGAGTGATATAAAATACAACATAAGACCTGACCCCTGCTGTCTGATATGTCACAGTCTGCTGGCAATGAAAGGTGAGCAAACAAGGCACGGAGTTACAGTACACAGGAGCAAATGATAAAGTGCCGAGGAGGTCAGAAAAGATCTCAATTTCACTGTACAAACATGACAGTAACATAAACTTTACCTTATAATAGACTCAGCTTGCTGACAAGGACAATAGCATCAGTTCTTTAAAGGGGGGGAAATTCCTTCTATAGCAAATTATTGTTAGAAATTATTTTCTAATATTAATAGTGAATCCTCCTGTGAAATATGCAATTAAGTCATCTGTATGGCCTGAGTAGATTACCTAAAGATTACTCTGGTTTTATTAATTTTATTGAAATTCTTTATTGTTTAAAACAGTGGTCGCAAACTCATTAGTCAACAGAGCCAATTATCAACAGTACAGGAATCTCTTTTGAGAGTCTGATTTTTTTAAACTTAAACTTCTTCTAACACCACTTCTTCAAAATAGACTCTCCTAGACTGTGGTATTTTGTGGGAGAGCCACACTCAAGGGGCCAAAGAGCCACATGTGGCTCTCGAGCTGCAGTTTGCCGACCATGGGTTTAAAGTATTACATACATCTCCTTCCCACTTTTCCTCACTGATCTTTCCCCAGCCGCTCACACCCCAGCACATGCCCTCATGCCCCTACTGCCTGTGTCCATTGGTTATACTCATATACATGCATAAAGTCCTTTGGTTGATCTCTTACCCATCACCCCACCCCCACCACCTCTTCTGCCTCCCTTCTGAGGTTTGACAGTCTGTTCAATGTTTCTCTGTCTCTGGCTCTATTTTTGTTCATCAGTTTATGTTGTTCATTATATTCCACAAATGAGTGAGATCATGTGATATTATCTTTCTCTGTCTGACTTATTCTGCTTAACACAATGCTCTCCAGGTCCATCCATGCTGTTGCAAATGGTAAGAGTTCCTTCTTTTTTACAGCAGCATAGTATTCCATTGTGTAGATGTATCACCATTTTTTAATCCACTCATCTGCTAATGTAAACTTAGGCTGTTTCCAAATTTAAGCTGTTGTAAAGTGTGCTGCTATAAACATAGGGGTGCATATATCATTTCTGATCCTAGAAGTGGGATCACTGGATCAAATTGGAGTTCGATTTTTAGTTTTTGGATGAATTGCCATACTGTTCTCCTCAGTAGCTGCACCAGTCTGCATTCCCACCAGCAGTGCACAAGGGTTTCTTTTTCTCCACATCCTCATCAGCACTTGTCATTTGTTGATTTGTTGATGATAGCCATTCTGACAGGTGTGAGATGGTACCACATTGTTGTTTTGATTTGCATCTCTCAGATGATTAATGACTTTGAGCATGTTTTCATATGTCTCTTGGCCTTCTGTATGTCCTCTTTCACAAAGTGTCTATTTAGGTTCTTTGCCCATTTTTTGATTGGATTTGTTATCTTCCTTTTGTTAAGTTGTATAAGTTTCCTGTAAATTTTGGAGATTGAACCCTTATTGGAGATAACATTGGTAAATATGTTCTCCCATGCAGTGGGCTTTCTTATTGCTTTGTTGTGGTTTTATTAATTTTTAAAGAAATACTATTTTATTCATTCACAGTATGAGAAGGATTTGGCTAGAGTTGTGTTTGCATCCTTAGGAAATAGATGAGTCAGTTTCTTTTCTTTGGACTACTTTTTAATTCATTAGTCAACTATAAAATTGCTTGTTATCCCACTTAGAGCACACGGGTACAGGTTTTCACCTGTTCAATAATTCCCAACTGTTGAGTAAAGTTGTGACTAAAGCCCACCCCTGTTTAGAGCAGTGCCTCTAACAAAGTAGATCTTATTTACCGCAAACCCAAGAGAAGGAAGCAGCTTCCTGTCCTCAACTTACTTTACTCATCACTTTCTTACCTGGTGAATTATCCATAACATAAATGCAGTGATAACCATAATGCAGTATTGCTGTGCATAAATAATATTGACCGGTTGATTTCTGAAAGTGAAATTTAGAATGAGACATTGAGAAAAACATGGTATTTAAAAAAATAGTTTTCATTCTCCATTTTAACTATTCTTTAAACAGGGCTGCAGATTCGAATGCCTGCAGGGACCAAGTATGTCATTCTGGAAAAATATAACTTGGGGAAGGTGGGCAGTTATTGTCATTAGAAAGTAAGGGCATGCCCTAGGTAAAAGCATTCAAATGCAATTTAAAAAAAAAAAGAAAGCTAAATATACTTCTCAAATAAAACATTACTCCAAGCTATTTGCTCTTTGGTCTTAAATCCCTGCTTTAGGATTAAATTCTTATACTTGTTTATAGGTAAAATTTAATATCAGCTCTACAGTTTCAAATATTTATCATTTAAATATTTCAGTTAAGTGTGATGTCTAGATTGCATGATTAACAGGAAAAAGCTTAAATGTGGATGGTTAAGTAAATCCTTTCCCTGGATTTTAATGTTCTCCAAGGCCCCTTTAAGCTCTACAATTATGCAATCCTTAGACAACCTCTTTAGACATGATAAAAATGTTTTAAGGTAGATACATATTTTGGAGCACTTTTTAAAAACTCTGAAGATATAGCTTGTACGATTTGCATTATACTTAGTTCTTCATTTATAACACCTGCCACAAATGATGAGCATTACCATAAATCGGCATATTATAGTAACTGCCAAACATTTAACTGTTTTTAGGAAATTTGTAGAATTTGTCAAAGGTTTATTCTACATAAAAACCAGATCGAGGATAGATATTTTGATATTCTGGAAGTCACAATCTGCATACATGGGTAGCTTTATTTTTTTTTTTATGTATACTAGTTTAGTGATCTCCCCCCGACCCCCAGTCCCTTTTTTTTTTTTTTTCTTTTTCTTTTTTTCTTTGTTCCCTGTGCACAATAGTACATCTCATCTTTGTTGGTAGGTCATGATGAAGATAGGTAGGCATCAGCTACCCTTAATTTAACATGAAGACCTGTTTTATATATGTCATACCATTTAATTGACAGCTGAGAGCTTTTAGATACTGTTATGATTCGTAGTTGATGGACTAGAAAACTGAGGCTCAAAGAGCTTAGCTTGCAGAGCTAGGATTGTAACACAGCTGGCTCTTAACCTCAGTGTTGCACTGACTCCCTGAGAGATATATGATAAAAACCTGACACCTATCTGTTCATAATATACCTAGACCTGAAAGTTATTGCAAGGGCATTGTTTCATACCTATCATTTATTGAGCCCTTCAGTGTGCTAGGCACTATTGGAAGAAGCTTGCAGAATCCAGCCAGGTAGGTGCTAATTTTCCAGATTTACGGCTGAGGAAGCATCTGCTCAGAAAAGTTAATATTTCTGAGATCACACAGCTAGAAAGTAGGGCTGCAATTCAGATCAGGGTTTCCTGGCACCTTAGTAATACACATTCCACTGTATCACACTGTTTTTGAGAGCAGGTTACAGAGAGAGGCTGAAGCTGACAGTTCACATTGAACACTTGGCAGCTTCAAATAGAGTATACAAACTGGGGAAAACCTAGGACATACCCTTTGCTGGTACCTGTGTCCCATAGCACTTTCATGGTCTTGTTCATGTCTGTGCATCACGGTCCTACTTATTAACATTGTTCTTAGATTACTAAAAAAAAAAAAAAAGAGCGCACAACTTTACTATTCCTCCTGTATTATCTACTGAACAACAAATTACCTCCACAATGAATAGAAGCATTTAGTATGTCCTGCCCTTTCTGAGAGTCAGGGATTTGGGAGCAGCTCTCAGCCATGTGGTTCTGGGCCAGTTGTGAGGCTACATCACACTACCGTTGGGACTGCTGTCCTCTGAAGGCTCCTGCCACCCATTAGCATTGCTTTTGGCAAAAGCTTCAGTTCCCCACTATGTGGGCTCCTCCAGCCTGCTGTCAGCTGGCATCCCCCAAATCAAACGATCCAGAAGAGAGAGTGACCAACATGGAACCAATGTCTTCACAGCTTAATGCTGTCACTTTTGCCATGTTTTTATTGGTTACACAGACCAATCCTGGCAGAGTATGGGAAGGGACTGCACAGAGACCATTGGGGGTCATGTTGGAGGCTGACTACTACACCTGCCACAAATAGAAACTAGAATCACTTGCCAAAAATAGGTTTTAACCACAAAAATAAATATGATGCAAACAAAACAATGTTAAGAAATTCCAGCTGGCTTGAAGGTTTTTTTCCTGATGTCTACTTCCTATTGTATTTATTAGTTAGAATGGGAATTTACCAAGTGGTACAGGACAGGGACTCCAAACTAAGACATCCCTTTGTCTTATCAAAGGGATTGGCAAGGACTGACTTTAGTGGTTCATGTCCAGGTCTTATAAAATAGTCACCACTCATCATTTTTATAAATTCGACACAGACTTGCCCAATTTCATACTACTAACCAAATAAGACTAATTTTAACTTATACAATGCCCACTGATCCTATAGCTCAGATTTTTACATGTGCTTAAAGACATACCTGAGATAAAGAAATCATTATTAGCATCATATGCACATTCTGATATTTTGGTTGGATACAAATAAAGCATTAGAATTTTTTGTTTTTAGCAATAATTTTTTCAACTGCCTTTTCCAGTAAATGCAGGACAATGATTTGGCAATATTCTTATGGAGCCTAAATTATAACTGCTTCAACAATAGATACATCTCTTGTTCCTACTTCTGCTTTAATAGAGGATAGAATTACTGGGTAGAATTATTGGCTTGACGCACTTTATGTTCAAGTAAAACAGCTAGGAAACGTCCACAGCATGGACAGGACTGAAGCAGCTGGCAGGAGCAAGGCCATTAGTCAGCTCTGTGGCCTATGCCTCACAAAGAGTTGACCTGGATACAGTTAACCACCTACCCAGAACTAATGCCTAAGGAGCACTATGACTTACCCTATTAGGAAGAAGTAAACACGGTTTATTTTTAGGCAAGTCTTAGGTTGTCCTATGTGTAAAGGATCTTTCCTTAATAAATCTAGTGAATTGAATTTGTCTCTTGTTGAGTGTAAGTTATTTTGAGAAGAGAAATGGCTTGCAGTCTTGTGAAGACCACCCCCTCTAGTGTAAGGTACATGACTCTTAGTTGTCTAGTGTGTTTTATATCAGAGGCCCAGTGTACAGGTGGGGTCCCTCAGCCTGGCTAATGATTGGAGCTGTCTTGCCCAGTCCCTATCGGGGACCTAGGGAGGTTGGCTGTGGGGCTTCACTGACCACCAGGGGACAGCTCCTGCATTGAAGGTCTGCCTCCTGGTGGTCAGTGTGTGTCATAGTGACTGGTTGACCAGCTGTTCAGTTGATTAGGCATACACACACACACACACACACTAGAGACCCATTGTATGGAGATTCACACAATAAGCCTTCCTTCCTCTGGCCGGCCGGCACCCGGGACCCAGGCCTTCACTCTGGCCGCAACAGAGAAGCCAAGCCTCTTCAGTCTTTGCTCTGTATCTGCATATACAAACTAACCTGCCATCTTTCTTGGGTTAATTTCTATACTTCTGATTGGCTGGTGGTGTCATGGAGGTATGGTCATTTTGCATATTTATCTTTAATTAGTGTAGACAGAGGCCCAGTGCACAAAATTCGTGCGTTGGGGGGGGGAGGGTGTCCCTCAGCCCAGTCTACACCCTCTCCAATCTGGGACCTCTCAAGGAATTTCCGACTGCCTGTTTAGGCATGATCCTACCTGGATTGGGCCTAAACAGGCAGTCGGACCTCCCTTTCACAATCCTGGACTGCTGGTTCCCAACTGCTTGCCTGCCTTCCTGATTACCCCTCATTGCTTTTGCCTGCCAGCCTGATCACCCCCTAACCACTCTCCTGAAAGTCTGATTTATGCCTAACTGCTCCCCTGCTTGCCCCAAACTGCCCTCCCTTGCTGGCCATCTTGTGTCCACATGGGGGAAGCCATCTTGTGTGTTGGAATGACGGTTGAATATTATTTTATTAGGATTAGGTAGGATAGAGACCTGGTGCACGGGTGGGAGCCGACTGGTTTTCCCTGAAGGGTGTCCTGGATCAAGATGAGGGTTCCCTTAGAGCGGCCTGGTGAGGAGCCTGTGGTGGTTTGCAGACTGGCCATGCCCCCCGGCGACCCAAGTGGAGGCCCTGGTCTCTGGGATTTATTTATCTTCGATAATTGAAACTTTGTAACCTTGAGCAGAGCCAAATATCCTGCTCGCTCTGTGGGTGCAGCCATTTTTGTTGGGATTTATTTACCTTCTATAATTAAAGCTTTGTAGCCTTGAGTGTTGGCCTGGGCCCACCAGGGTATGCAAAAGCTTGGCTTCCTCCATTGGCAGGAAACCTAAGCCTCCTGCTCTCTCCATGGCCACAGCCATCTTGGTTGTGTTAATTTGCATACTCTCTCCTGCTTGGCTGGTGGGCATGGCTTGTGGGTGTAGCAGAGGTATAGTCAATTTGCATATTACTCTTTTATTAGATAGTATGCTCATCTTGTGGAGGAGAATCCTTGGTTCTTGCCAGGCCAGCAGATTCTGTTTTCTTCATCAACCAGGTTCAAAGAAAATTACGTATATAGGAAGAAGGGATAGAGACTTTGTCTTTTCCTTTGAAATGTCCTTCTGTGTCTAACACACTATTTAATAACTGGCACCATTTTAGACAGTAGTGGTCTTTAATATTTGGAGGGGTAAATGGTGAATTCAAACATTATTATATTCTAAAAGCCTGTGAAATAATTAACACGTCTCTGTAGGATCTACAGTAATTTCATTTGTCAAGTTAGTGTTCACTTAAGTAGCTGATGGCAACCTTAAACTTTAACTGTTTACCTATAGCTTCCTGTGGTGGAATGTTACATGAAAGTCCCTTTGGGACTCTTAAGTATTTTAAAACCAGTTTCCTTTTTCTTTAATACTCCTCAGCATTAGGTCAGAAATCATAATAAAATAGTGACTGCAGACATCTCCTATAACTTAAAACAAGAAACTGTTTAAAGCACAATTTATCACGTAAGAGATTGCCCTTGGTGGGCACTTGTGGTGTATTCTTGATCTGAGAGCTGATCACATGGAGATGATCCGTTTATGAAATGCTCACTTTCCTATCTGTTCCAGAACAGTGTATTAAACACTTTATGGCAGCATACAAACAGACATTTTAGTTGATCTTTGCAGCAGCAATGGAGGCTGGTCCAGTGTCCCTTCTTCAGTCAGTGCCTCTGCTCTGCCCAACATGGAAACAAGTCACTCCAGAAAATATCTCCTTTGAGACCTGTGAAATTTTAACAGTGTTTTTATTTTCCATATAGGACAGCACAATTATCTTTGTGCAGGAAGAAATGATTGTATCATTGATAAAATTCGAAGAAAAAACTGCCCTGCATGCCGCTATCGGAAATGTCTTCAAGCTGGAATGAACCTGGAAGGTAAGGTCAGACCTGAATGCAACTGTCTCTCTGTATCTTTGAAAATTTATTTTACTTTTTAAAATGTGAGTAAAAGATTGTAATAATTTAATTTAGTTATTGTGGTATATATGTGCTTGACTGGCACAATTTTATATTATTCAATTAAAAGCATAAATTTTTAAATGAATATTTCATTATTGCTTAAGTTTATTCACCAGCTCTTATTACTGAAGTCAGTATAGCCAGACTATGTACTAAAAAAGGAAATTCTATAATAATGGTAATTACAAAACTTGAAGCATTACTTTTGTAGATCTGCAGGGGGGAAAAAACTCAAAGTGGCCTTGGATGGGGTTTGTTTGTTGTTTTGCAAGTAAAGAAGAAACCTGAAACTAGGGTATAAGTTTGATTTTCAGATTCCTGTTTATGTAACAAGTTATATAATTAACATTGATGTCATCGTTTAAAAATGTTCCTCTGGAAAGTTAGGAATCTGCTTTGACTGAAATTGCAAGTTCTGTGATGGTGATGATGGTGATCTAATAGCCCTTGTGCTTACTATTGTTGGGATACCAGCATTTCATTCGGCAGTGCTCACCAAGAAGGCAGGCACAAGACAATGAATCAGTGCCTGTATTCTAGGAATTACCTGTCTAATTAGGTTCCAGAGTCAAATCACAAAACAGGGTCGCAAATGGAATAGTGTCACCTGATTCTGTCCTAGAAGAAGCAACATTAAATTTTAAGTCTAAAAAGACTGAGTAGGAATTAAGTGAAAATAACGGCAGAGGACATTATCAAATTTGTATTTTAGAAAAACAAATCTTGTAAAGAGTGATCAATTAAACAAGACATGGTGACAGTAGAGGGAGAATGGAAGCCATGTGGTTCTTTTGATAGGAGACTGTTAGAGCTTTCTGGCACGTACTATGTATGTGTTTAAATACAAAGATTTAGAGATGTGACTACATAGTTCCAGTTTGTCATTTAATAATATAAATATTAGCACATATCGTGCAGTTGATAATTTGTAGAAGAACCAAAAGGCTTTTAAACATATAAGTTCATAGAGTTTTTGCATATGTGTGATTTTAGTAAAAAAGTTTTGTGTTCAATTATTTCAGTGTATATAAAACCTTTATTTGGAGTAAGTGCCAGAAGTGTCTAGCAGACCATAATACTTCAAAATAATATATAGATTATATTGTTCTTTTCACTGGAGTGTTTCCCCTAAGTCAGGCAGTTTCATAATAACCCTAGAGTAGCTTCGCAGAAACCACTGGCTCACTCTCTCCATAAAAGTAACTTAGTACTTCTGCAGTACCAAAGAATACTCAAGGTATTATTTTAAGGCAGCCTTCTTCCTTGTCTGAAGTGCCTAGCATTTGAAAACAGATAAAGGTTTTTAATAGTGATTCCAAATTTTTTATACTTCATTTTAAGATATATTATTGTCATTCTAAAATACATCATTATCATTCTAAGATACATCTTTATTTTTAGTGTTGAAAATCAAGTAGAATTTAAAGGCAAGGAGGCTTATGAAATTATTAGATTTCATACCTAATATTTTAAAAGCTAACTTTTAAACTAAGATGTCTCTACTTTTATTAACAAAGAAGTGGGACTCCAGAGTTTCTGTAGTAAGAAATTGAATTTTAAAAACCTTCTGTGACTCAGCACATAATTAGTTTAAATTCCCAGCTTGTCATATCCTTTCCTCTTTGTTCTAATGTACAGTGTAGGAACACACAGCTTCGGCAATTTAGAATTAGTAAAAATGGAGGGTTGTACAGTCTGATTTCAGTAGGTTGATTTGGGCCATGCATGTTCTTTCACTTTGTCAACCAAGTACATGCCATGGTTTTTGAGATCTGGGCTTCATTGAGATACTGTTCGTTGTTTAGAGGTACTTATGTCCTTTTTAAAACTTCATCACTTCTCTGTAGACTTGCTCTGTCTGAATTCAAAATATTCTAAGGCCAGATGAGGTACTGACAGTTCTTATACTGGTATGTAATGTGTGCCAGGAACTGTTCTAAGCATTTTACACGTTACTAGACTTAATTCTCAACCACCCTACAAGGTAGGTGCTATTGTGTTCCTCATTGTATAGAAGAGGAAACCAAGGCTCAGAAAGTAATTTGCACCAATACCTGGAATTCAGCCATGGTGGTTTCAGATTTGTGCTCTTTATTGCTACACTATATACTGTGTCTTCAGTATAGTGTAGCAAAATAAAGTTGGCATGATCCTGTTTTAAAATGTTGACTAAAAATTCTTATATTTCTCAGTGCCACACTTCAGCACAGAGCAAGTAAGAAGTGGGACTATTCTACTCAATGGAAATGATGGGATAGTTTCCCTAACACCAGACATTGGGATAATAGATCCTGTCACAAATCTATCTTCAACAAACTGTCTTTTATTTTTAAAGGTGATTAGCACTTTTCCCTTAGCAAAATGCGCTTGCATCTCTGATAACTGAGACAGGTACATTTCCCTATTCATATAACTGTCGGTCCTTACCCTTCCCTGGTGCTCTGCATGCTCTCTCTTCAAGAATACTATAATTCCATGCTCACTTCAGCAGAACACATGCTAAAAAATAATGTAAATCTGATTTGTCACTAAACAAAGAGTAAGAATTCATTTACTCAGAAGTCTACAGAATCCATGCTGTAATTTGATTACATTGTTCCAAACTAAGTCAAAATTAAAAGAGAGCTTTAGTTACTTTACATATAATATGAAAATAGATGCTTTGGGTTTATAGTCATCAATAGAAATTTCTTATAAAAGGAAAATTACCAACTAGTAATTTATGTGAAGAAGTGTAAAATTTTTCTCTTCATCTTCCTCATCTTTTTAGTCCTAAATAGTATTCATTACTACAGGTTTTTTGAAAAAATAAAAAAGTGGATTTTTCTGCTTTTAGAACTTCTATTGTCTTCAGTGTGTGATCTGCCCTGTCTTCTTCTATTGATAAGGGGAGTATGTGCATGGCTGTAAACAGTAAAGCTCTCTTCATTATGCATATTATAATTTAGAGCAACCTTAAGCCAGAGTTTCTAGTTTGGTATTACAAGCTTAGATTCTTTCAATTGATAATAAAAGAAACTTGCCAAAAAAAAAAAAATGAAAAATTTGACCTTAACGTGGAAGTGAGGCAGAAACTAACTTATGAAAGAATCTGAAGGTGATTTATTTAGACTACTTTAATATAGTATTATAAGACATTTAATTTTGTATAAAATTCTGTATAAAATTAAACTATAATAAAGAAGTAGCTTATTTGTAGCAGAAATTAATATACAAATGGATTCTGTCACTACCATAATTGCTAAAAACAAAAACAAAAACACTTTCTACTCTCTCATATCTAAATAGTTTGAGAAATTAAAATACCTCTTCAATAAACTTTGCCACCTCCTATCACAACTTATTTCTCTGTGATTTTTTTAATACCCATAGCTCGGAAAACAAAGAAAAAGATAAAAGGAATTCAGCAGGCCACTACAGGGGTCTCACAGGAAACTTCTGAAAATTCTGCTACCACGACAATAGTTCCTGCATCATTACCACAACTCACCCCTACCCTGGTGTCATTGCTGGAGGTCATTGAGCCAGAGGTGCTGTATGCAGGATATGATTGCTCCAGCCCAGACTCCACTTGGCGGATCATGACCACACTCAACATGTTAGGTGGGCGACAGGTGATCGCAGCAGTGAAATGGGCAAAGGCAATACCAGGTAAGGTGTAAACGGGGACACAACTAAGATACATTGTAGTTGCTATTATACAATACTAGAGGCTGCTGATGCATGGAAATTGTGCACGAATAGGCCTTCCTTTCCCCAGCTGCCTGCAAAGGCTTCCCTCGCAGTCCTGGCTTCATCCTGAAGGACATCGGGTCTAATTAGCATATTATGCTTTTATTATTATAGTTGTATGAGTTTCTGGTGTACAACATATAGTGATTCTACATTTTTATACTTGATGTAATCATTATGATATGTCTAGTTATTAAGATATTATTGACTCTTCCCTGTGCTATATATTACATCCCCATGACTTATTTTGTAACTGAAAGTTTGTGTACCTCTTATTCACCCATTCCCCTCCTTTCCTATGGCAATTACCGATTTGTTCTCTGTGAGTCTGTTTCTTAAACAAAAACATTCTGGATCCTTAATCTTCATGGTCCATGGTATTGTCTTGTTCCTCATTCTAGTTATAGGAGAGTCTATAGTTATAATACGTTTTACACTGCTCCCTGCTTTTCAGATAGGATGATGTAACATACAGAATTAACAGGACTTACTCAAAATTCCTTTTACACTTAAGTAGGAGAAAAAAATTTAAACTATTTCTTAGATTTCAGTTTGTTTTCCTTCATCGTATCACTTATAAAAATATGATTAGTTGTAAAATTGGTAAAAACCAGACATGGTGACACTGTCAAAATAGACTAAAGTAGAATATTTTAAGCTTCCTGACTTCACAGCTAGAGGGGAATTGACAAGCTCTGTTCACACAATCAGAGGCAGAGAAGACTAAAGAGACTGACCTTTTCTCATGCCTAGACTGTCAGAGGAAAGAGGTAGAGAAATCGGGAGAGTTTTTCATTAAAATTCATTGAGTGAATAAGATCCCCAGCCAGGGCTCTTGGCATTCTCTTTCACTATCCTATATAATAAAAGGGTAATATGCAAATAGCCTGAACAGTGGAACAACCAGTCACTATGACGTGCACAACCACCAGGGAGCAGACACTCAATGCAGGAGCAGGCTTAAACCATTAGCTGGACCTTCTCGGTGCTGCCGCGGAGGTGGAAGAGGCTCCCGCCACCACCGCTGCGCTTGCCAGCCACGAGCCTGGACCAGGGCTTCTGGGATCGGGCCTAAGCCATCAGCTGGATTGCTAGAGGGACATCACGGGCTGGGCTGAGGGACACCCCTCTCACCCCCGAGTGCACAAATTTCATGCACTGGGCCTCTAGTTAATTTTACATTTACTTAAGTCGGCAAAAGGTTACAAAAACTGGCTGCTCTGAAGGCTTTGGACATTGAATGCTATTACAGAGCACTGAGGGCTTTGATCTTCACGTGTCGCCAAGGGAGATTGAGCAGCTGGGTACTGTATGTCCCTGTCTGTTAGAGGTCCCCCAAACAAGGCTAGTTCATATCTGGTCTTTGGCAGTTTCCATAGAGATGATCTCTTTGGCAACTACAGCTTTTCCTTACACCTTTATTTCTTTTAACTTAGGATTCAGGAACTTACACCTGGATGACCAAATGACCCTACTGCAATATTCATGGATGTTCCTCATGGCATTTGCCCTGGGCTGGAGATCATATAGACAATCAAATGCAAACATGCTGTGTTTTGCTCCTGATTTGATTATTAACGAGTAAGTCACTTGTGAGTCATTTTTCCCTGTGTTCATAGGATTTTATCACCAGCTGATGTTTTCCTGATGGACTGTTATGTGGTGATCCTTCAGGAATGAATCAGTGCTACCAGGTATCATGGAACTGGGAAAACCTGAAGAGTTGTTTATCAATGCTAAGGCAAGGCAGGTATAACAGAGCGAATATACAGGTGGCATTGTTACTGTCCCAGGATATTATTTAAACAGTGAGCATCTCTGGGTTGTAAAGTCTATAGCAAATAAAAAGGAATCTTGCAGTGCATTGTTTAACCAGCTAACTGCCACATCCAAGAAGGAAACCATCCCCACATGTCATAATATTTTGAATTTAACTAAAAAATCAATTTGCAATGAATATTATAAAAATAAATATGTTACAATTTGGGTGTTGAATATTTTCAGCTGAAAATTCTCACGAAAGATGATTTTAAAGTTGGTCAGGGTTGCCACTTAGGGAAAACTTTTTTTTTTAATAGATGTGAATGGTGTGTGGGGAAGGTCTGCCACTTGCGTCTACAGACATTTATGGCGCACAATGGGTTAATTACATAATCCTATTCCAGTAAGAAAAAGCACATTACAGTTCATGTTGCTCCCGCCTTCTGCAGGGACAGGTGAGGCATCCCAGCTGAGGGGTGGAAGCACAGATCCAGAGAGAATAGTTAGCTCCTCTCATGGCAAATCTTACCAAGTTTAAAAAGAACAAGGGAACCAAGTTTAAAAAGAACAAGGGAACAAGTTTTTTTGTTGTTTTTTTAATTGGGAGAGAACCAGCCGAGCTTTAAGATTTCATAAATCAGCTATTCTCTGGCCACCTATGCTACTCTGTGAGGTGTTTCCTACCTACCATCTGTCAACCATCACGTTGACTAATTTGCTCTTTTTTAAGCACAGTGTGCTCCCATCTCATATATCCACAATGCACAGATGCGGTCAGTGTCTCCTCACCTGCCACCCAGTACACTCACTGTGGTTTCTGTCTTTCCAGACCTGACCTCTCTCTTTCTCCTTCACATACTCATCATTCCCATTCAAGATGATACATTTTACAAACACATCAGCTTATCTCCTTTATTCAAACACACACCTATGGTCTGAGTGGAGTAAATGAATGGGGGGTTATATGGAAGAAAAAAAAAAGCTGGGTATTTCTTTGTGAATTCTGAGTATTTAGTATTGACAAGGGTTCAAAAAAAATATTGAATTATTAAACCACATCATTAGAATAATAGTGAAATTGCTTATGAATCAAGCATTGTCAGGAGTCTATGTTCAGAACTGGATGCCATATTAAAAATAACAGTGACAACTTTAAACATGTCCAGAGTGGCAAGGAGTTTGGAAATTAACATTAGTTGACGAAAATGAGACTTGAAAGCAATGAGGATAGCCTGAAGAGAGATTCTGTGAAAATAATGCAAACACATTGTTTTTATCTCTTGGGTGTGCCAGGCACAAAAATAATGGGTAGAAATTATAGAAAAGCATCTTTGAGCTGAGTGTTAAATGGCTTATGATGTATAATAGTAAGCTCACATTACTTTAAATGTTTTAGCGGAGACTGGATGATATCAGCTCCAGATATTGTAAAAGAAATTATTGGGCTTTATACAAGAAGCTGCAGGTAGTAGGGTGGTTCTAGATTCAGGACACATGAGGTCATTGCAAGACCATGTATCTGGGATGGTAAATAGGAACTACCTAAGCAGAGAGTTCAAGTTTTCCCTTTGGTAGGCCAGCTGCATACAGAGTTAGTCTAAAAAACCTGGTTGAGCTATCAAATTAAATGTGGTGCTGTTTCTCTAATGGTGACACTTTCTAGCACAGTATTCACTCTGTGTTACATGAGTACTGACCAAGTGCCTGACTCTGGTTACACACAGCAAATACAACAGATGATGCCCCTGATGGGGGAAACCACATGACCCAACTTACTTTGGAGAGCCGTGGTGTAATATGTGGCAGAGGGGAGGAGGGGCAGTACGTGCTACGTTAGTATGGAGGACCTTGCTAAATAGCTGAGCAGGAAACAGAACAAACTTTTTGAAAGGGAGGGCATTCCAGGTAGAAGAAATGATTACAAAGGATGGAAACAGCTTTGGTATATGTGAGGAATTGAGAGAAAGTCACTGAGGATATTGTGTGAGTTTAGGGAAGAGGGTGGGGACCATGTGGAGAATTTTGTAGGCCATTAAATAGAGTTTAGATTTTATTCTAGATGCAAGAAGCCTGTGGAATGTTTCAAAAACGGATAAATAACATGATGGAGAGACTCATATGTGTTGCCTGGTGTTAGAGCAGAGAACACGACCAACAAGGCTCCTCACCTTAACTGCGTGCACTGTAGTTGGGGAGACACAGACAACCACCAAATAAAATTTTAGATTATAATAGAGTTTTTATTAAATAGATGTCTATTTCAGATAGGGTGGCTCATGGCTTTGGGAGGTGCCATTTGAATTAAGACTTGAAGGAAAAGGACCAAGCCTCACAGTGAGAAGCAAGAGGCATGTGAAACAAAAGTGCTCACTCTGTATTCCAAGGAAGCATATCCCTGTCCTCCACTGACAGGCACTACCATGTGCTTGGCCAGGTAGAAAAGCATCTTTCAGCTGAGTGTTAAATGGCAAATCTCCATACACACACACTCTCGGGGGCCTGTGTCACCATCACTGTTGCCAAAAAGAGGACGATTCGAACCACTGCATAACCTGATTGTGCCACTTAAGCTCCTTACACAAAGTAGGTATTACAGAAATGTTTTCTCAGTGTCCAGCTCTGTGGAAGGGTAAATGGCTTATACGAACAATAGCTTTGAAGAGGCCTTTCTGACTTGACATTCTCTTTTTATTATGAGGTGGGAAGGCCTCCTCCCCTTTTAGCTCAGTGTTCCCCCCTCCTGGTGTCTGGAATAGGCAGACTTGGGGGTCAGAAAGTATACATTCAAGTTTGGACCATCTGTATAACTTGTAAAAGTTTCTCATCATTGTCCTTAGGTCATCAAGTTGTAGAAATACTTTTTTTAAACAGCCAACTAGAATTATTATTTTTTATTCTACACTGTAACTGTCAATTACAAAGTATTAGAAGCTAAAAGAGAAAAAGATACCTCACAGAAAAGGAATGCTTAATTCCTATTGGAGCATTAGGAAGGTGCCTCTTACTAGAAGTAGATTTTATATTTGAAGAGTCATAGAGCTCCTGTCATCACTGTATGCCATTCATGTACGATTTATCATATTAAATAACTTTATCTGTTAAGTCCAAGATCACTTTCTATCAAAACTTTGAAAGAAATACACACAGATCTTGAAATATTTTTAAATCTGTGAACTGGGCACAGATTCAGGCTCTTGGTTTCACTTAAGAAATTGGGAAACTTTAGGGATCTATTTGAAAATCATAGATGTGATCATGGTTTTTGAGTATTAATTTGGTACCTTTCGTTAGGAGAACATTCAGTCACAACGTCTGTCAGATATGGAGTCTAAGAAAGCCTAGATTCAAATTCCGACCCTCTGCTTAACTATATACAGTATCCTCATAGTTGTCTTTAGAATGGAATTCTATGAGAAAAAAATGCCTTTTGATTTTTAAATGGGTAGGATCTAAAGCTGTGTTGTCTAATTGGCGATATTCAGATGCTACCATAAAACCTTGATTTAAATGAGCAAGTGGTAATAAATCTTGTAGGAGTAGTAAGTTCTAAACACTTAAATAAAATAATGTATGGAGTGCATGATGGAAAAATAACTTATCCAATGTAAAATTACATTGTTCAGTAGTCTCTTTATATGCTTTAGACCCAGGAACAAGTTTAATGCTAATTCCCTACAGATCAGAAGTTTCCTTAATTGTAATAGTTAGGTTTCTCTTCATGGAACAAGCACTATTTAGTTCTAATTCAAACACTGACATTTGTCTTTCACAGGAACAGGATGAATCTACCTAGCATGTATGAACAATGTAAACATATGCTATATGTTTCCTCTGAGTTACAAAGGCTTCAGGTATCTTATGAAGAATATCTCTGTATGAAAACATTACTGCTTCTCTCATCAGGTTTGTAAAACACTTCACTTCTATATGAATCATGAAATATAGAAATAAAGGTTTATTTGTATACATAGCACTAATACTTATTTCGAATATGTCTACTATTTCCTGCTAGTCAGATATGTTTTCATAAATGTTAACTTTTAGAAAGGCACAGCCACTAACATACACCAAAATTAATAAGACACAGATGTCATGGAGAAATAGAGGTGTATGAGTTGCACAGGGGTATCTGTTGGTCTGTAATGTGTAGACTTCCTCTTTCCTGTGACCTTCGGATAACACCTCTGTAGGAGGCATGGAAAAAGGAAACCAACTGGAATCATTTTGGTTTTTCTACTACATTGTAACTTAGTCAAAAATTTTACTTATACAATGAGTACTACCATGTAGAAGACACTATGGGAAAAGGATTCATCCTACACAAGGTGTGCATGATTACTATTAGAGGACTGGTTAATGCAGCATCCGAGCTGGACTGTTGGGCAGAGGTATTCTATCTAGAAAATGACAGAGTTTATAAAACCACCTTGAAAATTTAGATAAAGTTACTATATATAAACTTTAGTGAGGCTAATTTAACCTAGCAAGTTAAAACTAGATAGCTTTTGAAAAATACAAAGTATCTTATCTATATTAGTAAAATTGTGTTATTTTTGGCATTTTCAATAAGTGTGTGAACCACTTGTTATTGTAAACTTTAGACCATTCCAGTAAAAATTATATATCAAGTTAATGTTTATAAAATACTGAGTTGATAGATGAATAACTTTTTCATATACAAATAAGTAAACTTGTAATCTCCTAAAATTCTGTATTCTTTAGTAACTGTGGTTTCAAAGTTGTCATATAACTTGAAGCTATGGATGCTGCACATGACTAAACTGTTGTGATTCTTTGTTCTACAAAAAGTTGTTTTATCTTCTTAGATTTAAGGAGTATTAATAATAATCAAGGCTAGAAAAATTTCCACAACCCCTTAAAAAACCTAAAGATAAAAAGATCATTGCTGGAGACTCCTTTCAGATTACCAATGGCAGTATACTTAAAACGTAAACTGGGTATTGAGCAAACAGTGATTAAGGGAAGAGCTCTAAAACAATGCCTTGTAACTCGAAATTTTCATCTCATAATGAACAAAAAATGGCATCTGTACAGCATAGCAAATCATTATCTTAGCACATTGATAGACCCATTCACAGTACACCAGCTGAAAAAAGTTCTGATTTAACAATCGTCAGAAATCCAAAATGGAAGGTGAAAGAGAAAAGGAATTATACAAAGAGAGATAATAGCTAAAAAGTTTCCAGAATTTAAAAAAGACACTAAACCCTATAACCAGGCAGTGCAATGAATTCCACATTAGTACATTAATAAAATCCTGTTTTCTGAACAGCAAAGTTAACAAGAAAATCACTGAACAGGAGAGAAAAAATATCTTCAAACGATAAGGAATTTAACCAAACAATAGCAATTGAAGAAAATGGAACAATGTCTCTAAAATGCTAAGTGAAGGTGGACTTCAGTTTTAGCTCTCACAAGTAAACAGTTATCCTCATAATAAGGAAAAGCTGATCAAACTGATGAAAATCAGTGACTTTTCTTAGATCCATCAGAGAATGGAGATTACAAGGCAAGCCACCATCTCAAAATCTGTACAGAAGGCAAATGTAGAGAAGCACAGCCAGAATGAGCTTACTGGAAGAGAAGCTACTGGAGCCAGTAACTGGTAGTAACATTTCAGGAATTTTGATAAATTCTGTAGACCCAATGAGGAACAGCCTGAGAGAAAGAACTCTTGGGACCCAGTATTGGTAGGGGGCTTGTCTCCCCATACTTTCTTGGGGTTTACCTCCTAAAGCCACCCCAGGTTCCCATGGTGAAGATCTGAGAAAGGTCCCCTCAAGTTTCTGCGTGCTAAGTAACAAAGCCTTATCTGACCTAGGGAAGTGGATAATTCCAACCCCCTCTACTTTCTGTATCATGTAAGAGAAGGGGGAAAAGGTCCAGAAGCATTCTGAAGGACACAGCCCAGGGACCAAGACTACTAAAAAGATTTAATCATAAAAGTAGTAAACATACCACCTTACCACCATATGATCAGGGTTCCAGTGGGAAGAACTGAATTACAATGGAGAGAACTGCAGAATACAGATATTTTAAGAAAGAAAATAGGGGACAGAAGAAGGGGGAATAAAAATAAGGAACTGGAACTTAACACCCACACCAAACATTTAATGCAGCCTAGTCCCTAGCCAGATTAACATAAAACCTCACATAATTTCCAGCTTTTTGCAAAAAATTGCAAGGTAACAAGAAACAAACATTAGTTATCAGATAGGAAATTTGAAAATACCTATGATTAATATGTTAAAGACTAATGGAAAAAGTAAACAACATGTAAAAACACATGAATATTGTAAGCAGTGAGGTGGAAATTTTAAGAAAGAAAAGGAAATGCTAGAAATTAAAATACTAAAATATGGAAATGAAGAATTCTGTGGATGGGCTCATCAGAGGATTAGATACACCAAGGAAAGAATCATTGAGCTTGAAGACAGTCAAAATTTACAAAATTCAAGAGCCAAGAGAAAAAAAGAATGAAAAAAAAATAGAATATTTAAAAACATTGGGGAAAGTTACAACAAAAGGTGTACTATACCAGTAATGGGAATATCAAGTAAAAGAAGGAAAGGAACAGAAAAAATATTTTAAGTAATAATGGCTAATAGTTTTCCAGAATTCATGACAGGAACCAAAACATCAATCTAAAAAGCTCAGAAAGTGCCAAGAAAGATAAATACCAAAAAATCTATACGTAGGCCTACTGTATTCAAACTGCAGAAAACAAAAAATATGGAGGAAATCTTGAAAGTAGCCAGATTGGGTAAAAAAAAAAGCTTACCTATGGTGGAACAAGAACAAGAAATACGTTCTGCTGAATTTTCATCAGTAGAACCATGTAGCAAGAGTGGAATCACATATTTAGTATTGAAAGGGGGGGAAAATCACCAATTTATAATTCTGTATTCAGTGAAAATTTCCTTTAAAAGTGAGAGCAAAATAAAGACCTTCTCAGACAAACAAAACTTAAGAGAATTAGTAACTACCGTGTTTCCCCGAAAATAAGACCTAGCACATGGAAAGATAAGACATCCCCTGATAATAAGACCTAGTGCAACTTTGGGAGAAAAAATTAATATAAGACACTGTCTTATTTTCAGGGAAACAGGGTAATAGATCTGCCTTTCATAAAATGTTAAGGGAAGTTCTTTAGAGGAAAGGAAAATAATATAGGTCAGAAACATCATCTACACATAGAAAGGAAGAGTGTTAGGAATGCATGAACATAAAACTGTCATTTTTCTTCATAATTAATCTAACAACTATTTAAAGTATTAATAATGTATATTATTTGAGCACAACATACGGATAAGTTGAATGAGTGACAGCAATGTTAATAGGGATGGGAGGGAGAAGTCAGGAATACTCTTTTTTAATGTAGACTGCAGTTGTACTATAACAACATGGGCTTGAACTGCTCCGCTCCATTTATTCATAGCTTTTTTTTTTCCCCCCCAATAAGTAGAGTCCGCCTTTTGTATCTATGGGCTTTACATCCTTGGATTCCACCAAATGCAGATCGAAAACAGTATTTTCACATTCCCAACTGAAGTTGGTTGAATCCACAGATAGGAAGAGCCACCTATAGAGTCAGAAATTATACCTGGATTTTCAACTGCAAGGGGATCCGTACCCCCAACTCCCACATTGTTTAAGGATCAACTGTAGTTGTCAATGCAAACTCTAGGGCAACCACTAACAATAATTTTATTTTTCATCACCATTTATCCCCTCTATGAAAAAAATAACTTTGAGAGAAGAAGTAATGATTATATACTGAGAGAAATCATGTCATATGAAATGCTCAATGAAAACTAGAAACAGCAAAAAAAGAGAAGACTAAAAAGGAAATGAAGAACAAGTGCCAAGAGCAGATAATAGTTACAAACATGTCATCAGTGCCCAGCCATATCAGACCATTGCTTTTCAATGTAAATGGTCTAAACATAACAGTAGTCTATTTTTAACTTATTTTTTTTGTTAATGGAGGCTCAAACAAAGTTTGCCACTAAACTTAGTATATAATATTACAAAATGTTCCTAGGCAAAAGGGAAGTAAAGACATTTTTAAGAATGTTAAAATAAGTGGTAAAAAAAAAAAAAAAGAAAAAGTGGTAAATATGTAAATAGACAAACTAAACTTTACTGAATAAAATAACAGTAATGTCTTTGGGGGGGGGGTTGAAAATAGAATTAAAGTACACATTAATTACATATAAGCAAAAATAAGAATTTGGTAAATTAAGACTGGGTGTTTACATTTTAAGTACGACAACTAGAAATACAAAGTGAATATAAAGTACCAAAGCATTAGGGGAGAAAGAATAACATGGTAAGAAAAAGTCCAAAAGAATGAAAGAAATGAGAGGAGCAGGGAAAAGCATAAGAGGAAGTAACAGATGGCATAAATACATTCAAATGTATCAGTAATTTCACAAGAGGTATATCTAGATAAAGATATTTAACAGCTTAATTAAGTAAGAGGATATACTATGCATGGTATAACCCAGTAATGGCAAACTTTTTTGTAAAGGACCAGATGGTAAATGATTTCAGCTTTGCATAGTCTCTGGTATAGCTACTCAATTCTGCCCCCTGTGGCAGGAACACAGACCAGGCTGACTGCCAGCAAAACATTATTTACAAACACAGGCTGCAGGTGGGGATTGGGCTTGGAGCCATAGTTTGCTGACCACTGCTTTAACCAAAAGAAAGGTGAAGCAGCTGCATTAGTATCAAAATAGACTTTACGGCAAGAAAACAAAGTTCTATATTTAAAGATACTCATTACATAAAAAGCATTCCATTCACCAGGAAAGTATTTGTAAATATATGACCTCTAAAAACATGAAAGCAAAAATTCTTAGAACTACAAGGTTAATTTGGGATAAAATTCTTTTAATATAAATATAAAATAGGGCCGAAACCGGTTTGGCCAGTGGATAGAGCATCGGCCTGTGGACTGAAAGGTCCCAGGTTCAATTCCGGTCAAGGGCATGTACCTTGGTTGGGGCACATCCCCGGTAGAGGGTGTGCAAGAGGCAGCTGATCGAAGATTCTCTCTCATCGATGTTTCTAACTCTCTGTCCCTCTCCCTTCCTCTCTGTAAAAAAATCAATAATATATATATATGTATATATATATATATATATATTTTTTTTTTTTTTTAAGGGATATTATAAACCATGCAACTGATCAGTTTTCCCCTTTGCATTAGCTGATAGAATGCTCCGGGCAAACAGGTGGTTGATCTCTAGCAAAAGTCTAGAATACTTTTGGTACCCATTTGGGACACAAATACACTGAGTAGCCAGATTATGTGTTCAGAGGTCATAATAATCTGGTCACTGTGTGTGTGTGTGTGTGTATTACATAAAAAGTAAGATTTCTCTTTAGATTGGAATCATATCAACTCAGCATTGATGTATTAATTAACAAAATGCATTGCATGATTTTAAGGGTATAAGAGACTGGTAATGTCACATATATTCCAGGATGTTAACTGATGGAATAAAACACTGTTGGTGTCGTTTTCATTATGTCTAACCAAACTGAAGGGCAGAATGGCAGGCAGTGTATTACTTATTTGGTCTTCATGACAGCTTTGTGAACTGGAGAGGAAGATATCTGCACAATTTACCTAAAGTTAAGGCCTCCAGTCTCCCATTGGCCCCTATTCTCTTGGCTGTGGTTTCACGATCCTTTGAAATGCTTATGTTTTAATCGAATGCATTAAAAGCATATAGACAATGTTAAGTCATGGAATATGCTATTGATAATAAATGCCCTACTTGCTTGTATGAAAAGTTATCACAAGAAGTTTATTGAACTGACTACATCTTAATCTTTTAGTTCCTAAGGAAGGTTTGAAGAGCCAAGAGCTGTTTGATGAGATTAGAATGACCTACATCAAAGAGCTGGGGAAAGCCATTGTCAAGAGGGAAGGGAACTCCAGTCAGAATTGGCAGCGGTTCTACCAACTGACAAAACTCTTGGACTCCATGCATGAGGTAAGTGTCAATCACAAAGCCAAGTGTTAAAAACTTTCTGGGATATGAGGTTGTGTTCTAATTAGTCTATGTAATTATATACCAATTTATTTCCTATTTGTGGATACTGATAATGGTTTGAGTTCAGTTTGGCCCACAGTTTTCCTGAGGCCAATTATGGAATTTCATTTCACCTGGTCATGTGCCTGTAGCGTCCTGATGCCAGTACAGAGTCCAACAGCACTGTTTTTTTAAATACAGAATTCCCTGGCTTTGCTTGATTAATCCATTAAATTAGAATATGTCTTTCCTGTGTTATAGTACTGCAGTTCATCAGGAAACACTCAATTACATATAATTCTACATCCAGTTTAAGGGATTTAAGAGGTCTTTTGTACCTGAGTGCTCATTTATTTAAACTTTTTTTTTTACTTGGGGAATTCCAGCAGAGATTGGGTATATTCTAAGTCAGATATTTAAAAAGAGAGAGAGAGAGGCCAACAAGCATGAGATGTTCCCACTGATCGGATTTTAAGGCTAATTATTACCATATCTTCTCTTGTAGGTAGTTGAAAATCTCCTTCACTTTTGCTTCCAAACATTTTTGGATAAGACCATGAGTATTGAATTCCCAGAGATGTTAGCTGAAATCATCACCAATCAGTTACCAAAATATTCAAGTGGAAATATCAAAAAACTTCTGTTTCATCAAAAGTGACTGCCTTATTCAGAAAGGTTGCCTTAAAGAAAGTTGACTTTATAGCTTTTATTGTACAAACTATCATTTATCCTATAGCGGTTATGTTGTTTTATTTTTTTGTTTGTTTATGTCTGATGTTTTTGTCTTGTTTTAAACACGCACTACATGTGGTTTATAGAGGGCCAAGATTTGGTGACAGAAGAGGTTGAGCCCTTGCTTTTCAGTGATGGGAACAGTAGGAAGTGATAGTTGGTGGATCCCGGAAATGAGAAACAATGAGGTGGGGTCATCTCCTTGTTGGAGAAGGATGGCACTCTAGCCACCAGTGCCCAAAGCCTGCTTAATGAACTTCCTGCTCATACTTATCACAGTTGGCTGGATAAAATCTTCTAGACTTTTTGTTGGTGTATTTGCCCTGTATAGTTAGGATAAAATTTTTTGATTTATGCATGGAAACCTGAAAAAAAAAGTTTACAAGTGTATATCAGAAAAGGGAAGCTGTGCCTTTTATAGATATTGCTGTCTGGTTTTAACCATTTCCTTTATATTCAGTGAACTACGCTTGCTCATTTTTTCTTACATAATTTTTGTATTCGAGTTATTGTACAGCTGTTTAAGATGATGGGCAACTAGTTCATAGCTTTCCTAAATAAACTCTAAACATTAATATCTTGTGTGAAAATGGGTTGGTGCTTCTAACCTGATGGCACTTAGCTATCAGAAGATCACAAAAATCGACTCAAATCTCCAGTATTCTTGTAAAAAAAAAAATCTGACATTTAGTGTGTGTGTGTGTGTGTGTGTGTGTACACACACACACACACACTTCAGTGGAGAATTAATAGAGGTTGTGCAAATTAACCACCCTAACTGGTATCGAGCACCTACCTGGTCCAAACCTGTAGGGTAAACCATAGATGATGGTTGCAAAAGACTAATTTAAAAAAACAAACACAAAAAACTACCAAGAGGCCCTGTCTACACCTAACGCCCTATCCTTGCAATGGTTAAATGGCAAGAATGAGAGTTTCCCATCTTTCAGGACCTTTTGTTGTAGTTTGTATAACTTCTTAAAAGTTAAGATTGCAGATAACTAGCTGAAACAAAACTGAGGGATTTTAATCAGACCAAGCAATTCCTCTCACTTTACCCCCAAAAAATGAAATCTCTGATGTGGCAGAAGTGGTTAGACACCCATTTTCACATTCCCGCCTGTCACACTGGTCTCCTCTCCTGGCGGCACAGGGAAGCTCGGTCACTGCTCCCTGTGACTTAGGCTGCGAGTCAGGCTCCCCTGTGTGTAAACCACACCTGCCCATCCTGTGTGCCATGGAGTTTAACAAGTCTTGTGGATTTTTTTCCTCACTGTTGAGAATTAATCATTTTAAACAGAATAGAAGCTGTAGTAGCCCTTTCTGTGTGCTCCTTACCACCTTTCTGTTAACTCAAAACTCCTACTTATTAAGCCACAAGAAATTCGATTTCTATTTAAGGTGGCCAAATTATTTGTGTAATAGAAAACTGAAAATCTAACATTAACAATATGAAACTTCTAATATATTTTTATATTTAGTTATAGTTTCAGATATATATCATATTGGTATTCACTAATCTGGGAAGGGAAGGGCTACTGCAGCTTTACATGCAATTTATTAAAATGATTGTAAAATAGCTTGTATAGTGTAAAATAAGAATGATTTTTAGATGAGATTGTTTTATCACGTTATATATTTTTTGTAGGGGTCAGAGAAATGTCGGTGGATAACCTATATGATTTATAGTGTGTGCAGACATTCATACAGGACAGGCAGCAGTGGTCCCAAACACCAAACGGGTTTGCTCCCAGGGAAGAGGGAGATGGAGACTGGCCCTGAGGCTCCCTCCCGCTCAGATCACAGATCACAGAGGGAGTCACCCTGCCTCCCAGCATGACCACCCTCTCATTCCAGCGGTGAGTCTGGCTGACTAAACTGACCCTTGCGCTAAAGCGAGTGAGCAGGAGCCAGCAAGGTTGTGCTCACACATGGACAGGCACCAAGAGCAGGGTTACTTTCACAGACAGCCTCACCAACAGTGTAATAAAAACAGAGGTTTGAGAAGTTTGGCAATAATATGCACAGAGGTACCAGCAATATGTAAATAATGCAGAATCTCATTGGTTGCCAGTAATACACTAATTCCTTTCTATCCTACGAGAGTTCATTTCCAAACAAAATGAGGGTGTTTATGTTTTCTTTGAATGCTTTTTGAATGTTTTTGTTATTTTTTCAGTATTTTGGAGAAATTATTTAATAAAAAAATAATTTGCTTTTTGAATGCTCTCTAAAAGGGAATGTTCTTTTTGTAATGGTCTAATTTGGTTCAAAGTTATTTTAAGGTTATTTGTAACCCAGCTGGATGTGAAATTTCAGGTGCCTAAGAAATATCGCTTTATTATTATCAATGACAGTGTTAAGAATCAAACAGAATTTCTGAAAGTTCACTTATAGAATGTTATATGGTTAAAATAAGAAAGCACATCAGACATTAATTATATTTTAGTCCCAGCATCCTCAGCTATTAATAGAGGTCAGTGAAAAAAAAAAAAATGACATGCTCACTTTGTTGTTAAAAAAATCAACTGACATTCATAAAACTATAGGAGGCTGTACATTAGATGGAAAAATAAGCTGTGCCCTTTTTGAATATGTGGAAAGGAAGTTATCTTAATTATGTTGTTCCTCTGAGTGTAATTATGGATTTAAGTGGGGGGAAAAAAGAGGTGCTATTTGAAAGTAGCTTCATTTTCGGTGTATGTGGTATCTTGCCATCCGAAGTTACTTAAGTTTGTAAAGTCAATGAGAGTTGGTGACAGGCCTAGGTGACTCCCAACAACCCCTGAAAAGTATTTTTGATTACTGGGGGAGAAAAACTACCCTCTTGGTGTTTTTAGGCCTTGCTATGGGATGCAAGTGCTTTTGGGGTATATTTATCCAATTGTCTAAAAATATAGGAGGGGAACCTAAGAGTATCTACCTTCTCCTGAAAAAGGAAATGTCATCCCCAAAGGAAAACTAACAGGGTCAGGGTCTATGGAGAGCTAGGTAACCAGCACAGGATTGATTCTGGACATGGAGATAAAGGAAAGCCAAAAGCCAACCTCACTTCAGAATTGGGGGCGGAGGGAGCAGTTCCACTTTTACTTATCTATACATCCTATTATCATTGAGTCTTATCATTTTAGTTCTATGTTAAATACCTAAACTGCATCTCCATGGAACAAACAGTATTATTGCACTTTGATCTGTCAGGAGTCTAGAACCATGGCAGCCCTCAGTGGCCTTCGAACTCGGTCGGTCATTCAGACAGTAGCTATAGACAAATGTGTGTTTATGTGCCTGGGTTGAGAGTTGAAAGGGAAAATAAATTAGTGTGAGGAGGACTCTTGAACCACTTGGAGTGGAAGTTTCATCGTTTTCCTGACTATTACCAGTCAGCCTGGTCCAGCAGGATTAGTGACCAGGACTTTTGGGAAAGGGAGGGCCAGCTCCTCACTAGGAAATGACTGAAAGGAGTTTATTTTCTGATGAAAGGCTATGTGAAAAGACCCTCCTCAAGTAACTTGCTTAACTACAAATAGATTTAAGTGTGTCAATATTCTATTTTGTATATTAAACAAATGCTATATAATGGGGACAGATCTATATTATATTGTGTATGGCATAATTAAGAAGCTTTTTCATTATTTTTTATCACAGTAATTTTAAAATGTGTAAAAATTAAAAACCGTGACTCCTGTTTAAAAATAAAAGTTGTAGTTTTTTATTCATGCTGAATAATCTCTAGTAAAAAAAAAAGTCTTTATCTACGCAGTGAAATGTCAGACTGTAAAATCTTGTGTGGAAATGTTTAACTTTTATTTTTCATTTAAATTTGCTGTTCTGGTATTACCATACCACACATTTGTACTGAATTGGCAGTAAATGTTAGTTAGCCATTTACAGCAATACCAAATATGGAGAAACATCATAATAAAAAAATCTGCTTTTTCATTATGTGACTCCAACATGCTTCTGTAGAACTCATGCAGTTCCAGTTTTCCTCCTTTTGTCCTCCTTTTTCTACTGAAAGTAGTTATCACTTCAGATACCTTCATATGCGAAAGTGGACCTTGTAACAGTGAACTGCCTGTTAGTTTGGCATACATTCAAAAAGAGCTTAACCCTGGTGCCCCAGGCCCGACTGTCCCGTCCATGCCTCATGGCTACGTGCCAATTACTAGAAGGGGGCTGAGGGAAGGCTTCTCCAAATTCAGCAGTCTGTCACAAAAATGGTATTTGTGTAAACAAATGTTATCTAGCCAAAATTCTTACCTTATTTTAAAATGAATTATCGCAAAAAAAGCATAATTTAGTGAATGTCGTAGCAATGTTGCACAACTATTCTATACAATCTATTCATTTCCCAAAAAAACATACTATCTTGGGGTCATATCCATGAATTGGGTAATCTAACAAACTTTTCCTATAAATACTCGCTTCTCCACAAAGGGAAAAAAGCATTATGGCTGAAAAACCAAATTTGACATTCGTCTACATATCTAATAAATATTGAAGATAGAATTGAGTAAAAAAAATCCCATCACTATCCTCCATCACTTACAGTATGTGGTTGGACACGTGTGTGTACAAACTTCCTTCCCAATGTCTTGGGTGCACTGCAGAAATACCAGATAGGGCCCAGTGTGTATACACATCGATACTTTACCATTCACTTCAAGGGTTTCTTTTACATCTGTAGGACACCTTACCTTCAAACATTACACCAGTTACTCCCCAGCCAGCGGATGAATGAAATGGAAACAAGTGCTGAAGACACTCCATTTTATAAAAAGATTTTTCAAAAGGAAACAGGTTTAGTGTTTAAATACTGATTTCTAGCTGCTAACTCCACCTAATTGAAGTCTGAATAGAAAGTCTAATGAGGCCATTTACTATATGTCTCTGATCTACAAGCTTCCCAGGGAACTGGTGTTTTCTGTTTTTAAATTTCACTGTTTTATATTTACTGAGCACTTTGTACCAGATAACAAGTTTTAATATATTACCTCATTTCAGCTTAGCATTCTCTAAAGTACAACTGTATTAATGTACAATATCATTACATTTCTCTGAAGAAACTGTGGCCTAAAGAACTGAGTAACTTGCCTAGCTTAGAAGTGGTAAAATAGGACTTTTTCTTTTAACATGCCATCTGGCTCTCAAGTCCATGCTCTTAAGCACCACTAAGAAATTATTAATATGAGTCTCCAAACCAGGTTCAACGAACTCATATTAAGCATTGTGGGTCAGGCCTTTTGATCTGATTTAATCTAATCCCTTTTGCTACCCTCTTTCCCCGAAAATAAGACAGTGTCTTCTATTAATTTTTTCTCCCAAAGTTGCACTAGGTCTTATTTTCGGAGGATGTCTTATTTTCAAGGAAACTCGGTACACATTAGTTTTGATCTATTATTTAAACAATGTTATTTCCTCCTCTTAAAACCCTGTGTCCTATCCTCTGGAGATATGGGTGGTGAAATAGAGTAGCTGCCCAGAAATAACAGTATTCTAGTTTTATCAAATACACAATGAACCGGTCTCACCACTATCCCCAAGAAAGTCAACACATTTATTTTTCAAGTGAAGCAGAGCATATAGGCTACACTCAAAGGAAGGAAGAAAGATGTTTATAAATAAAAACTGATACAAGTCAGAATTTATTCTTGGTTTGACAGAATAAATAAGAGCCAGACTTTGGGTATAGAAAAGAGGTTGAAAATACAGAGGCATTTACACTAGCTGAATACTTTTTAGACCTTCAACTAATCTTTCCTACTTGGTAATAAGTAGCTTTTAACAGCATTAATAACTTATAGCAATTTCTTTGGTGAAAATATCCAGCCCCTCTTGTATCAGGCTTCTGTTTTCTAAAATGAAACCATACTTTGGTAGGGAAACATTTTTACTTTATTTGGGTACAGACATGTTAATCTCCAAACGAAAGAGTTCACCCAAAAACCTTCCCTCACTTTCCCCATATTGTCTTTAAAAGAGAAAATATACAATCTACTCATCTATACCTCACCAGAACTAGTCAACAGAGTATGTATATACAATGTAAGTCATTTACATTCTATGGGTGTCAATGTGGCACTTTATGAAGTGCTGTCCGAGTATACCCGGGCTCTGCTGGAAAGAATAGAGGCTATCCAAAGCCATTAGGAATTTTGCTATGATTTCATGGATCTGAGATAATAAAACTGCAAGTGTGTGTGGGGGAGGAGGGAAGGTGCTACCAAGCAAGGGTTAATGGAACATGAGACTATGTCATTTCCTGACCAGTTTCTCTGTCCACACTGTGGCAGGCATGCCAGATGAGCCAATCTGAAGAACACTAAGGCAACACTAAAACTTCAAAGGTTCCTGCCCACACGAATCAAAGATGCTCATCAATTCTACTCTAGTGTATCTATGAAATATGTACACACAACAGCAAACAAACACCTAAATGTTCACAACAGCCAGGGAGTGGAAATAACCCAATGTCCATCCACTGATAGATATAGAAATAAATTGTGGCGTGTTCATACAAGAGAAAACTATTTAAAAAAAGAGAGAGAGAGAGATAATGATGTATACTATAATAAGAGTGAACCTCAAAAACATTATGCTACGTAAAGAAGTCAGACACAAAAGACTTTATTATTTTATTCCACTTAGATTAGATGTCCAGAAAAGGCAAATCTATAGAGAAAGCAAGTCAGTGGTTGCCTGTGGTTGGGGGTGACATTAGGGCTTAAGTGAAAATAGAGCTGAGGGAACTTCCTGGGGAGATGGAATGTTCTAAAGCTGGATTATAATAATGGCTGCGCAATTCAGTACAGTTAATAAAAACTGTTAAACTGTACACTTGAAGCAACTATATTTTATGGTATATGAATTATATGAGCTACATTTATTTTTAAATATCTATTTTTAAAACATCAGCGTTCAGAGGATTTAATTGCCCTTCACCTGTATCAGGAGCTGACACACAGTATGTTAAATGCATACAGGCAGGTGCAGCTGTGTTTAGGAAGGCCTCTGAGAAGATGACTTTATTGTGTGGATGTGGAAGGGTGGGCTGAAGGTTAGCAGCTCGGTTACTTATTTCACAGGAACAGATTTCCCTGATAGTTAATGAGATACATGTACTCGCTCTGAGATAACAGCCAGGTACAAAGAGATCGCCAACATGACAAGTAAACAAACTGCTAGCATATGACTGCCCATTTTAAATACACTAGAATGTGTGGCACACACACTGTGTTATTAGCTGTGAAGCCCTTAGTAGTTACAACTTTATAATGAGACAAATCTGAGTTCAAGTCTTGCTTCTGTCACTAAGCCTGCAATCTTGGGAAAGTTGTACAACCACATTAGACCTGTTTCCACATCTGGAAAATGGGACCAATAGCAACATCTTAAAGGAATGTGAGAATTAAATGAGATAAGCTACACGGAAGCTGCTTAGCTCAGTTCCTATCATACAGCAAGAGCTGCAGACATGTTAACTGTTTTTGAAATCCTCAGGGACATTTAAGAGGAAAGGGACATTTTTTCAATGCTCTTCCTAGAAATGTATAGAAAAAGTCAACGTGAATAAGGAAAAGAGATATGAATACAGGGACTGTATACAAATTTCCAACTTCACATACCCTGATTAATAAAGGTCATGCATAGGGCTGGGGCAGGCTGTTATGTTACTGGCCTACATTTTCATTCTCTCTTCTCATATTCCCAGCTGTCAGGCCTTGGCAAGAGTCACCCAGAGGCACTGCACATTCTTTCAGAAAGCATCTTACATTTCCATCTAGGATCTCAAAGCACAGATGAGCAGCACCAAGGCAATGGAGATCAAAAGAGAAGGAGGAAAGTTATAGATTTAGTTGAACTAGTCTTTTATACAGAATTTTTCCTGGTCAATAAGAATTACCAACAAATAAAAGGAACCAGCCTGTTCATCTTTTGCCCCACATGAAGTTTCCCCTCTCATTAGCATTAATGAGAGGAGGATGAGCTGAGCTCAATGTTAAAATTATATCTTTTTTGTATTTACTCAAAAGAATTGAAAACATGTCCGCACAAAAAACGTATACAACTATTCATAGCTTGTATCATACTCACAATACTTAAAACATGGAAACATCAACTAAATGTTCATCAACTAATAAATGGATGAATAAAATGTGGTAAATCCACACAATAGTACTTGGCAATACAAAAGAATGCTACAAAATTTGCAAATATGCTAAATGGAAGAAGCCAGTCACAAAAGACCACATACTTTATAAGTGAATTTATACTGGGTAGGGCAAACAGGTTACAGTTGCACATATGGAAAATAATACAATAATTAATACATAATTCAAGAGTAATCACTTTTGCATACTCAGCTATAAATCTACTTTTGCCCAATCCTATATTAGGTGTCCAGAATAGGTAAACAAAGCAAAACTATAGAAAAAGTAGGATTTGTGGTTTCAAGGGGCCATCGGAGGGAATATTGAAGAGTGAGCACTTACTGGGTACTTGGTTTCTTTGGGAGTAATGGGAATGTTCTAAAGACAGTTGCACAACTCGAGTATAAGAAAAGCCTTTGAATTGTATATTTAAAATGGATAAATTTTATGGTATCTGAGTTAGAACTAAAAAAAAAAAAATAGGTCATTTAAATAACCCAATATCTACTAGTTAAACTGAATTTGTAGTTCAAAATCTTCCCAAAGAAAACTCTAGGCCCAGATGGTTTCACTGGTGAATTATAGCAAATATCGAGGGGGGGAAATAATACTAATTCAACAGAAATTCCTTCTGGGAAAAAAATGAAACTGAAGAGAAGGAAATATTCCTCAATCCATTCCTTGAGGCCAGCATTACCCCAATATCAAAATTAGACAATTATAAGAAAACTACAAATTAATATCCCTCATGAACATGCATGCAAAAATATGCCGAAGCCGGTCCCAGGTTCGATTCCGGTCAGGGGCAAGTATGTTGGTTGTGGGCACATTCCCGGTGGGGGGGTGTGCAAGAGGCAGCTGGTCAATGTTTCTCTCTCATCGACGTTTCTAGCTCTCTATCTCTCTCCTTTCCTCTCTGTGAAAAATTAATAAAATATATTTTTTTAAAAATTTGGTAAATAGAATCTAATAATATGTAAAAAGGATGACATACTAGGCCTGAGGGGTTGTTACCCCAGGAATACAGGAATTCACATTTCAAAGTTAATCAATGTCGTTCACAATAGAGGAAAACTGAAAAAAAAAAAATGACTAGACTTCAAAACATTAAGACACCAAATTACTATGTGACCCAGCAATTCCACTTCTATTGATAGGTATATACCCAAAAGAACTGAAAACAGTACCCAAGCAAATAACAGCAGCACTATCCACATTGGCCAAAAAGATGGAAATAGCAACAGTCCACATGCCCATCAGTGAATGTGTGGATAAGTTCGTTGCCATATATATATAAAATGAAATATTATTCAGCCATAAAAACGAAGTACTAATTCACACCACAACATATGGATGAAACTCTAACACATTATGTAAGTGAAAGAAGCCAGACACAAAAAGTCACAAATCCCTAGCAAATCTCTAGACTAGATAAACCTATAGATACAGGAAATAAACTGATGGTTGCTAAGGGAAGGGGATAATGGAGAAAAATTACTTCATGGGTAATGGTTTGACTTTGAAATTATGGAAATGTTTTGAACTAGACAGAGATGGTGGTTGCATAACACTGTGAATAACCTAGATGCCACTTAATTACTTGTTTTTAAATGGTTAATTTTGTTATGTTAATTTCATTTTAAATTACCATTTTTTAAAGCTACTAAAATCAGTGAGTTTAGCAAGGCTGCAGGATACATCAGCAAACTACTTATGGCCATAACTACCTTAGCACCTGTTTTAAATAAAATGTTTTGCAATACAGACATTCCTTCATTCATGTGTTGTCTAAGTTGCTTCCACACTGTGATGGTAGAGTTGATTGGTTCTGACAGACACAGATGGCCTGCAAAGCCTAAACTATTTACTATCTGGCCTTTTACAGAGAAGGTCTGCTGAGGTCTGGGATTACAGATCTATAGGCAAAAATTAATTTTTCTATGCACCAAGAAATAATTAGAAATTGATAATTGAAAACAATACCATTTACAATAGCTTTAAAAATATGAGATACTTAAGAGATAAACCTAGCAAAATATGTGAAAACCCTGTACAGTGAAAAACTATAAAATATTGCTGAGAAAAATTAAAGATGATTTAAATACATGGAGAGATATATCTGCTCGTGTAATAAAAACTTAACATCATTAAAATTTCAAGTCTCCTCAAATTGACCCATAGATTCAATGTGATCATAATCAGAATTTTAGCAAAATTTGGTGGAAATTAGAAGCACATTCTAAAATGAATATGTAAATGAATAGACCTACAATATCCAAAACATCTAGGGGGGGAAAAAACAAAACACAAAGTTACATGGTTAACTCTCCCTGACATCAAAAATTATTATAAAATTACAGTAATTAAAATGACATGGTCCTGGAATAAAAGTGTCCAAAGTTCTATAGACACTGATTGTCCACAGGCAATGCAATGGAGAATGAGCCTTTTCAACCAGTGTGTGGGAACAACTGGTTATGCATGTTTTAACAAATGAATCTGGATCCATACCTTGCACCATATACAAAAATTAACTCAAAATGGAGCACAGAAATAAATGTAAAATCTAAAACTATATAATTTATAGACTAAAACATAGGGGGAAATCTGTAGCCTTGAAGTATATACATACAATGGAACATAATCTAGACCTAACAAAAAGGAAATTCTGCCATCAGCAACAATGGTGAACCTGGAGGACATGATGCTAAGGGAAATACGACAGCCATAGGATGACAAATCCTGCCTGATGCTGTTTATAGGAGATACCTAACAGTCAAACTCCAAGAACCAGAGAGCATAGTGGTGGTGCCAGAGGCTGGGAGGAGGGGGAACGGTGAGTTGTAATCCATGGGCATAAAGTCTCAGTTATGTGAGATCAATATGTTCTAGAGATCTTGCTGATATTTTATGTACATTTAACAGTGTTAATATGTTAGGAAAAATAGTTTTTCTGGCTCTTAGAGCCCTTCCTGAAGAGTTTATTTAATGCACAATGTCGATAAATAATTTGGAAAGCATTCAACCTGATGGCCAGGGTGACTTATAAAGCAAAGAGAGTTTTCCTACTGCATATGTTTAGTGACACCCTAGAAAATCTGTGCTTAGCAGGTGTTAAAAGTCTGGGGTAGTGCCAAAACTGGTTTGGCTCAGTGGATAGAGCGTCTGCTTGCAGACTGAAAGGTCCCAGGTTTGATTCTGGTCAAGGGCATGTACCTTGGTTGCGGGCACATTCCCCAGTAGGGGGTGGGCAGGAGGCAGCTGATCGCTGATTCTTTCTCATTGATGTTTCTAACTCTCTGTCCCTCTCCCTTCCTCTCTGTAAAAAATCAATAAAATATATTTTAAAAAAAAAGTCAGGGGTAGCGGACTATACTCAAGGGACTGAAATAATTGTAACATTGTATCTAAATAATGATTTTTTTTTTTCAGATATAGCTAGAACTTTCAATAAAATCCACCTGACAGCTGGCAAAAACTCAAGCCATAATTAAGAATTTTCAAATATTAACCTATCATCTTAAAATAACATAATAGTATAATTATTCTAATTCCAAACTTTATGAAGTAAAAAATAAACCAAAGATTAAGATGAAAATGCTTATTTTGTATTGAAAGAATTATTAAAATGTCCACATTACCCAAAGCAAGCTACAGATTCAAAACAATCACTATTAGAATACCAATGACATATTTCACAAATCTAAAACAAATATTCCCAAAATGTATTTGGAACTATATAAAACTTGAATAGTTTTGGCAATCTTGAGAAAGAGAAACAAAATTGGAGGGATCACAATACCAGATAGCAAACTATACTACAAAGCCACTGTAATAAAAACAGCCTGGATTAAACTATCTACTTATACCACAAAAACAAATGCAAAATGAGTAAAAAGCTTAAATTTAAGTTGAAAAACCATAGAAATCCTAAAGGAAAACATAGGCAGTAAAATCAGACATCTCACATACAGTATTTTTGCTGATACATCTCCTAGGGCAAGAGAAAGAAAAAAAATTAAAAATTGGGACTTCATCAAACTAAAAAGCTTCTGCCAGCAAAAGAAGCAATCAACAAAATGAAAAGGGAATCCACTGCATAGGAGAACATATCCACCAATGATACATCTGATAAGGGGTTAATTTCCAAAATATATAAAGGACTCTTACAATTCAGCACCAGGAAGACAAACAATTCAATTAAAAAATGGGAAAAAGACCTGAATAGACACTTCACCAAAAAAGGGCATAAAGATGGCTAAGAGAGGTATAAACAATGCTCAGCATCAGTAATCATTAGAGAGATGCAAATTAAAACAATAGGTATCACCTTACACTTGCCAGATGGCTACCATCAACAAAGCAACAACAAGTGTTGGTGAGGATGAGGAGAAAAGGGGACCCTAGTACAGTGCTAGTGCAGCCACTGTAGAAAATAGTATGGAGTTTTCTCAAAAACTTAAAAATAGAACTGCTTTTTGACCTAGTGATCCCACTTCTGGGAATATATTCTAAGAATTCTGAAACACCGATCAGAAAGAATATATGCACCCCTATGTTCATAACAGCATTATTTACAATAGCCAAAATCTGGAAACAGCCCAAATGCCCATGAGTAGATGAGTGGATAAGAAAGCTGTGGTACATTTGCACAATGGAATACGATGCAGCTATAAAAAAGAAGGATCTCTTACCCTTTGTGACAACCTGGAGGGACCTGGAGATTATTATGCTAAATGAAATAAAGACAGCCAACGAAGAACAAACATCATGACATAACAGTATATGTACAATCTAATGAACAAAATAAATTTCCTGACACTGAGGTGTTTTGTAAGAGTTTTGTTCTATGTCAACAATATGGGACTAAGGCACTGCAATAAAGACGATCCTGGAAGGACCCTGTTTCTCCTGCCAGTATGGGGAGTCAGAAATAGATCTGACAGTAATAATATCACCAATAATGGTCATTGTCTGAAAAAGAGCCGACGGCCTCAGCAGGGAGGGAAAACCCTCAACACTGAAGGCAGGTAAAGGGCCAACTACCTACTAACATCCACTGAGTGTTCAGCATTCCATCTTTAAAGAAAAAAATTATACTTCAAATCCCAAAGTCTGTGATGTTAGCAGGGGCCCTTAAGGTCAACACACTGAAGCCAAGCTCCAAGCACCGTAGATTACATGCACTTCAGAGCCAAGGCCTCCTTTTACGTTAATCACCGAGCCCCAGGGGTTAGCACAGAGATTAGCATTTTATCGGTAATATTTTTTAAATTAATGCTTGATGAAAACCACAACCTGTAATAATGACGCTGAGCTCTCCTGTTCTCCCACCGTCCCCTTAATGGGTCCCAGCAGCCTCGGTGGCGGTGGGAGGAGCAGGAGTGGCCAGGCCACCCAGCTTCTCCAGGGCCGCGGCCACCGCTGCCCCAGATGCTCACGAGGAAGGTCAGGCCCTGCCTGGGGGGCAGTGAAGGAGGAGTTCAAAGAGGTTGTCAGCTAAGCCCGCTCCTGCCAAGGTGGAAATGAAGCCAAAAATAGGCAGCAGAAAAGGATAAATCTGCAGAGCAAAAAGTGCAGACAAATGGAAAAAAGAGGAGCAAAGGGAAAACAGGTAGAAATGGCCGAGAAACTCAAGATTTACCTGCAGAAAACAGAGAAACAAAAAGCAAGGAGAGGTCAGCTTCTGATGAAGCAAGAGAAAGAAGCCAGGTCTGATTAATAGCGAACTCCAGGTCTCAGTGCTCCGTATGGCCCTTCTCATATAATGCAGAGGAACATGTTTATTAACTACTTTGTAAACCAAGTTTTTCCATAACTCTAGAGACATTTTGAAGGAGGGAATCTCACTTCATCCCAGTTTTAAGTTTAAGTACTGTTTTTAAGGTGAAATCATTTGCTCGCTGTGTGTTGATACAAGCAGAAAACAGTGGGGTATTGAATGTGGGAGCTTTGATTGCTTTGAGTGTCAGCTTAACATTTATCCTATAATGCAAAGCATAGGAGGTGGCAATTTGGAGTCAGCTGTGCATTCAATGTGTCTTAAACAATTTTAAAATGACTCCTATTCCCATGGCTTTGGCAGAATTGTTTCCTAAAGAAAACCACTCCTTGATCGTCTGCTCTCCCAGTCAGAATTTCCTGCATCTGTAACATCTTTGGTGTGGTAGTCATTTGCCTAGTAACTCTGTAACATGCTGTGAAAGATTGAAAATTTGATTGTAGAATATATGATATTAAGTTGTGAATTAGTCGGACTTCAACGTAAAAACATATCAACATTTGAAGATATTGGTACCTGATATTCTGTTAAGGAAAATTAGTCTCTGAACTTTAAACTGGAAAGTCACTGGGATAACTGTTGAGAAAAGAATCTCCACTGCATGACATTCTCAGTTTTTGGTACATGTGTTTTAAGAATTGTGTACAAATTGAAATGTCTGTGTACTTATGCTTGAAACAACTAATAAAATCTTTGTGGAAGAATAAAATTTTTTTAAAAGTGTTACCAATCTACTTTTGTATCTCCTTATAAAAGTAGTAAAAGAAGAGAACTTTTTAAGATATTTTTTCAAGCTCCATTCTTTTTTTTTTTTTTTATCTTCACCTGAGGATATTTTTATTGAACTTACGAGAAACATCGATGTGAGAACCATAGATCAGCTGCCTCCTGTCAGAGCCCAATGGGGGATTGAACCTTCAACCCAGGTATGTGCCCTTTTTTGTTATTGTTAATCCTCACCCGACCATATTTTTTACATTCCTTTTTTAGACAGTGAAAGGAGAGGGGTGCGAGGAAGGAGGGGAGGAGGGAGGGAGGGAGGGAGGGAGGGAGACAGACAGACAGACAGACAGACAGACAGACAGACATGGATTGGTTGTCTCCCACACACGCTCAGACCAGGGCCTGGAATGAACCTGCATCCCAGGTAGGTGCCCTTGACTGGGAATCAAACCCAAGACCCCTAGGCGAGCAGGCCTACCCTCTATCTACTGAGCACACTGGCCTGGGCTCAAACTCCATTCTTCAACATTCCCTGATTATAGTCACTCTTCCGAAAGCAAACAAAATAACTACGAAGGAACACAACAGAAATCTGTCATCGTTTTGCATCTTGGGCAAAGGACTAGCTGAGATAAATTAAACACCTTATGGGCCAGGCTGCCCATGATGCAGAGCATGGGATAAAATCACGAGTCCTCAGGTTCCATGGGCAAGCCAGCCAAGCGTGTTTACTACGTGCCTCCCGTGAGAGCAAAAGGCGGGGGTGTACAAGCACTAAAGGTCATACCTCTGGTGGGAAGGGAGTCCTCTGGCCACCACCACTTTGCGGCGATGGAGCAGCGGGAGGGCAGCACTAGGAGCCCCGGTGAGGACTGCAGGCGGGAACGAGGGGGTCTGCGCGGGCTTCGGGCTCCTCCGCACGGAGCCATCCATCCCCGCGGCGGGCTCTCCTGCCGGGAGGAATGAACGTATGTCAGGGTCCCACACCGGGCACGGCGGGGAAATGCTCGCCAGTGTCAGTACCTCTCCCGGGGCCCTCACTCCTGAGGGACAAACAGGTGACGCTGTTATCACTAGGCATGGTGTCAGGTGGGCACTGCCTTTCTCAGGGTGGTCAGTGAGTCATATAACGGGCAACCACTGGTTTGCACACCTGAAACTAACATAACTTTGTATGTCCACTGTAACTGAAAAATGAAAGTTATTTAAAGTTAAAAAAAAAAAGAGAGAGAGAGTAAATACATCCATGCGCACATAAAGGTTCCCCAGAGGGATGCCGACGTAAACCAGGGGGTGGCCTGCCCCGGGGCAGCCTGTGGCCCTCCCTGGGGGAGATGGGCGGCGTGGCGGCCCTGAAGACTGCCCACCCCCACTCCCACCCACACCCACACCCCCACCCACACCCACACTGAGGCCTGGTCGCCAGGGGGAGGCGGACGGATGGACGCTCTAAGCACCTGAGCAGGTGCTTCAAATCAAAAGCGAGCAACTCGACACTCAGACCAGCTCGAGCGATACATACAGGGAAAGCCGTCCCCCGCCCAGAGAGGACGATGTTGCGGCCGGAGCCGGGGTCCTCGCAGGGCTGCTCGGCACGCCTCAGCCACAGGCAGGCCTGCCTCTCCGCCGGCTGCCACGTGCAGGCCCCGTGAGAGGAGCGTGTCAGCTGCGCGCACGCAGCAGGAGGCCTCTTCCCATAAGGCCTTGCGAGCTCTGTTCTTGCCTCTCATTGGCCCAAGCTGGCTTGGGCCCGCCCACCCCTCAACCAATCAGTGCCCAGAGACAGCCGACTAATCATAATGGACTAAAAGCTTCATTCGCAGGTGGAAGGGATGGTTGGGAGCCAGCCTCAGTGTCTCTCCTGGACACTGAGCCCTCATTCAATCAATAATTCATAAAGGAATGGGTGGAGCAATGAGTGGCAGAATCTACAATGGGATGGAATATGTAAAGGTTTTTTCCCCCTCTGGAGGGTGAGGGGAGCTGCTTTTGATTGGAGTGCCACATGATTAAATAGACTCACCTGAGTATACCTTCAATGGCTTTATTGGAAAGTTGTCAGCGATTAAGTACCAGCCACCATTAGTGCTACTAAGCAAGTAGTCTGCGTCAGGCACTACGTGGAGTGTGACTTGGGTGTAAAAGCACAGGATTTGGAGTGCAATAGGCCTGGGTTCAAATCCTGACCCTACCCTTTACTGTGCATACAATCTTGTTGCTTCACCTCTCTGGGCCTGTTTCCTCATCCACCAAAAGGAGAAACAACAGTTCCGACCTCGTGATGCTGTGAGGATTCGGTAGTAAGCCCTGTGAAATGGTCAGCACACTGAATGTTTAGTAAATGCTAGCCATTACTATCATTCGTGAAAATCTGTCCTGAATCTGCTCGTTTCATGTAAACTGTGCATGAGACTAGAAGAGGAAAGACATCTGTTCTCTGGCCAATAGTGTGTACAGTCCGCAAATGGAATGACAATCCCTAAATAGTCCGCTTATCAGCTGGTAGGACTGGGATGGGCAGGCCTCTCCCGTCTAAAGTAGAGGCCACTCACTTGGGGACCCCAGTCCTGTTTTGTGACAATGCCACCCTGGGTGCCCTGTACTTCCCCCCTACTCCCAACATGCAAGTTACTACTCAGCTACTGTTTTAAAACTAGGCTACTGTTTTACCCAAAAGAAATGAAAATATAAGGCTTGTACATGAATGTTCATAGGAACTTTTCCCATAGTAGTCAAAAGTTGTAAACAACCCAATAAAGAAATAATAAGAAACACATGATTCTTTAAAACAATTTATACACTATATTTGAAAATAATAATGAAAGGACTTGCTCTCCCAGATTCTTAGGCTTATTATAAAAGTTATAATTATTCAGATACATGGTATTGGCAGCAGAATGAATGAAAAGGCCAATGGAGACACCAGAAACAGATGCAGACAATAAGAAAACTAACTTGATTCAAGTCAACAGTGGCACTGCAGAGCAGATGGTCCTTAGAATAAATGTTTTTTTGTGGTGTTTTTTGTGTGTGTTTTTTTCCTGATTTCAGAGAGGAAGGGAGGAGGAGAGAGATATTTAATGTTGAGAGAGAATCATTGATCAGCTGCCTCCTTCACAGGCCACACTGGTGATTGAGCCCA